GTTCCAGAAGATTGTTATTACATTTCATTTTACAGTACAGTTAACTAAATCTATCTCCAGAAAATAATGAAGTTCTTTTGCTGAATTGTGCACTGTGACTTGTTTCAATACATCAAAATAACCCCGCCTCACATCTCTTTATGGCAATGCGGGATCATATATAAAACAGCCCCCTATTCAGCAAATTGCACATGCAGCCTTCGATCCCTTGGGGGTGAGGCAGCACTTTCCTTGCGATAGTAACTTCTAGTTATAAAGCGTTTACTCTCCTGACAAGCTATTTACCAAGTAAAATCCCTCTCATTATTTATCATATACAGTGTGCGAATATTTAATATCCATGTCCATGAAGTTTTCTGCGTTTTTATTGGTTTGTGGTTTTGATTTTACCCGGAAGAGGAAAGTGTGGTAAGTCTATTAATATTAAATGACGATTTATTTGACATAATTTGTAAATATGCTTATAGTATATATTACATTTCCCGAATTATATTATTTATTTATGTCTACATATTTGGAAGAAGGACTATAATATACCCAATGCTTAAGTTGTTTTTGGACTTCGACTGATGGGATGAACGAACGTTGCCGAAAATCAAATATCGTGTCATTACGGTTAATCCATGTCATCATGAAATATGTCGTGTGTTGATGTGCACACATGAATACAAATAAACGGTGAACTGCTAAAAATAATCTATGGCGAATGTTTGAGTGAATTATTAGATTTTTGTGTAACAAGACGCTCTATTGCATGAGCGTTAAGTTGCTAGAGCTATGAAAATTAACTTTTTCAAAGTAGGCTAAATTGAAGAATAACCGTACGTTTATATTCCCATAACGAAGTTCGTCAAAGCGCAAACGAAGGCCCGTGTTTTGGGGGCAGAAATTAACTATCTGTACGCTGTTATAAACAGTGTCCTGTAAGGTATCAAAATGCATGCGTCTGAAATATGTTTTAAAGCTATATATTAGCCGTCTCGTATATGGTATATTGGAAAACGCGTGCACGGATACGGACACTAATGTAGAAGACGGGCAGCAGGCATGCAGTCTCGTATATCAATATTCATCCAAAAGTCTAAAAATCTCGCGAAAAATCTGAGAGTGTTCCGAGTTCCGGCGAAACGGAGAGGGTTAGCAGCAATGGCAGGTCTGTAAGAGCTAGGAAGTAGGGGCCCAACATAAAGGGAATGCTTTAAAGAAAAGAAGGAAGTGCTTGTCTCTAACACGAATTCCCAATCCCAAGGTCGGGCAAGGATTGATGAAATGATCGATAATTTCAGATAAAGGACAAGTATATTTTGTATAGGACCACTTTTATGCCCATTCGCGCATAATAAAAGTCTTAAAAACTGTGTAGATTATATATTTACTGTAAAATATAAAAAGGATTTCGACATTTTGAGGTCCTTCCTACTCCTAGCAATACTTCGAAGATATAGTATATTATAGTATATTATTTACACGACAGATATTTTAGTAGGTATCATACTACTTTGAAGTAGTATTTCCAGACGAAGGGCTTGTGCTTTCATATTTTTCAGGTCGTTGTATCATCATAGCATGGGATGCAAATTGTCGAACGGTCCGTTGAAGATGGCAATTTGCATATTGGGGAAATCGGGAAATCCCCTTTTTCAGGCAAGTGTTGCCTGCGCAGCCAACCCAAAAATAGGGCCTGCAAGGAACGCGGCATTCGTGACTGAAAACGGACTAATAAATAGAACTCCTGAAATAAGGTTTTTCTCTTTATATTAACATTTAGCTAGTCAGGCGCTTTGTTCGTTGCCGTTGCCGTTGACGACATATACGTATGAGAACTTGAAAAACTTTATACTTATTTGATAATGCCTGGTGGTATTATATAAATACACTTGTCGAATACGGTATAAAGTTAAATCAATATTAAATTAAATTAACATTCGAATAAAACTAAATCATCCAGTACAGTACCTTGCATATAGAATTGGATAGTCATATTATTATATCAATGTATAAAAAGTATCATAGTGGTTTGTAGATTTCGTTCCAGAAATCCTTTTGCGTCATCATGTATTATTAGGGAGTTTACGATCTACGACGCGGCCGGCTCAACGACGCGGTCTAAATTTTAGCTCAATAATCAGCGCTAAGCAATTCGATTACTGTAATAAATATTTGACTCTTTCAAATAACCTTACAAAATGCTACCTTCGGCTAAAGCGATGCAATGTTTGCTGTAATTTCGACTTTTAGTAACACCTCTTGTGTCGCATTAAGCTTTCGCGTTGCCTGAAAGACGTAATAATGCTTTTTTAACGTTGTGTTGAGAATGACAACGCGGTTGACAATACTCATGGGATCACAAATATTGACAGTTTTTGTCTTGCATGACAAATTTCTTTGTAAGTTCTTTGCAGGTTTGCATGGCGATAAAACACATAATACTATTGTTTGTGGAAACATCAAATTTCTTTGTTTTGAAAGTGCGTCGTCGAGCCAGCCGCGTCGCAGATCTATATATATATATATATATATATATATATATATATATATATATATATATATATATATATATATATATATATATATATATATATATATATATA